AGCGGTATTTTAGTTAATTTATTTCTTGTAAATTTTTTTTTTGAATTTTTTTTAGATTATTCTATTTTTGAAGAACATACGTCTAAAATTTCAAGTTATTTGGATTTGTAAAAAAAATTAAAATTAAAATACGAAATAAGGTTGTGACCGTCACATCGGTCCAAATTCAATCTGGGCCATTGGGCTGATATGAACTCATATGTTCATATGAGCTAGTGGACTAATCTCAGCATTTATATATATAGATATATAAAAGAGTGCCGAAAGAAGATAAAGGAGTATGTATATATTATTATATTAACCTTTATAAATTTATATATAAGAACTATAATTTAATATTTAAAAATAACAGGGTCGGGTTCAAATCTTGGACCCATACTTGGACCAGGACCGCATCGGTCAGTCGGGCTCGGTAAATTCCCGATCTTACATTCACATTCACTAGCACAAATTTATATTTACTTTTCTTGTCTTCCCTTTTAAAAAGTATTTATGTAATTTGCTTTTTGTTGTGTTGTAGTGGTGGACCACGATATAGTGAGCAAGGATTGCAGGAGGAAAATGGGAGCAGCTTATGCAATGAATAGTACAGCAAGTGATGTGGTAACAGGAGAGGAATTAGGAAGTCTTGGGCGAAAATTAGAAAAGCAACCAATTCAGATTTCTGATACCAAGAAGCAAAAACAACTAAAGTTTACAGATTATCTTGGCTGAGCATGTAGTGGTATTCTTTCCCATCCTCACTATGTAGAATGATCCTTGTGTGTGTGCAATGTAGTTTTTTTAAGATTTACCATTATATTGGTGAATTTAGAAAACTCTACACAATTTTTTAACATATAGCTCTGAATGAATTAGTTTAATTTTATTCTATACATCAAATTAGAGGAGGGTCTTTGGTGTAATTTCAAATCCCTCCAAATTTAAGAAAATGTTGAATTTGCATATTCATTTGCCCTTTTTGTCCAATTCTGCTCCATTTACACATACATACACTCTCTCTCAACCCAAAAACCCTTTCCCTACTAGAGCTGCATAAGAGAGTGAGACAGGGCATGGTGCTCCCTTGACTCTCTTTTTTTTTTAAGAAACAAGAGTACTGAAAGTTTATTGCTTGAAAGAAAGTTACATCAGACTTATACAAATGAAGTATTGGAAACTTGAAGGGATTGAAACAAATTCCCCTCTTTGCCAGAGAATCATCAACTTCATTAGCCTCTCTATAAACATGTATATAGGAGGCAGACAATTGATTCCCAATCTCGATCACATCCATCCATTGAGTTCTCAATCTCCCTCGACTCTCCCTCTTCTCACAGCAAGGTCAAGACACACAATAGCATGTACCCTTCCCTACTTCATCTAATTTTTCCTGTTGTTTTTAGCCATTCGATCCTTATCTCTCTAACCGTTGTCTACTCGGTAATGTTTGCTAAGATGGGTAGAGAGTGAAATCCAGAGAGTATGGTTTTGGAGAAGGAATAGCTAAGATGGGTAGAGAGTGAAATCGAGAGAGTATGGTTTTGGAGAAGGAATAGATTCCCCCATGACTTACCCTAGCGTACATTTAACCTCTCGGCATCATGCGTTGTTTTTTTTTACTTTTCTTTTTGTGTGTTAAGGAAATGGTTTTATTTTGTCGTGATAATTTGGGTACTTGATGACTTATATTCTTCTATAAATTTGTTTTTGTTTTTTTTATGCTAATTTAGATTTTGAAGAACCCAATAGTGAAGTTCTCTCCTCTCTCTTTCGATGTTCCAACGAATCGCCCTTTTCTTTATCAAACAGTTGCATGTATCTGTTGCATGTATCTGCGATTTCAGTCACCCTCAGTGTGCGTCATTGACCGTGTGCCTCATT